AGAGAGAGACAGAGAGAGAGATTAAGCAGTGAACATTTAGCTTTTACATAAAGAATCGAATGCTCACTCTCACAGAAGCAGCCATGCAATTCACATGGTATGAGCATTATGAAATGCTAATTTTGCAATAGATTTATGTTGTGAGTAAACGTTTGTTTGGCAAGTCCATAATAGTGTAGGCTAAGCAGTATTGTTTATTTGCTTAAGCGGGTACAAGTTAGCATTGTTTTAATAATAGTAACATATGTGTTTAGTATGCATTTTAACTTCAAAATATTTAGACTGTGTTCATTGGTTTATATGAGATTAGTTTCGTAGTGGGAATTATAAATTAATAATTTTAAGGAAATAGTATCGAATAGAGATTTTACCCGAAACCTAGTGAGAAATGACAATATTAAAGCAGATTTTTTCGAATAGCGGACTGAATAATTAACAACAGTCTGATGATATTTCAAGTTTACATGGACATTAGGCTCATTAATGACACCACAAAGGACCCAGGATATCCCCTTTTGGAGAAGATCAACCGAGAAGACATTCCGTAAGCTCACGAACTGTGGAATGTTTAAAGCCCATAGAATCAACCGTGAAGTAATAACGAGCTCAAGACATGTAACTAGAATGTTATAATAAATGTCATTTATTGATTGAAAAGAACACTGATATTTCATTGGATTGCCATCAATTCAGTGAAGTAAAATTTAACAGAAGCTAAAGGACTATAGAGTCCACATGCAACAAGTAAGGTGATGTATGTTGTACGTTGAATGCGTGCAAGATGTTACGAAAAAACAGAGCAAGCCAAACTATGAATAATTAGAGCAGTTGATTTACTAGCATAGCAGGGCAAATTAAATTAGAAAAATCATAAGAACGTTACAAATAGTTACCCACTTTGGAGAATAATAAAATTAGTTTAGTTTAAGATAGTTGATCAATTAGACAGGTTTAATTACGTTACAAATTGTCATGTGCAAGACAGGGCAGGTTCATTAAGTTACATTATAGATTTTGGTAATTGTTGTATGTGCAATTCTCTGAATTAGTTTTGCAGCCTTCTCCTTTGTTACAGAAAAAAAATCCACTTGAGGATTCCTGGTGCATCTCATGAAACCGTAGACACTTTTCCAGAGGACAGAAGTTGCATATCTTTCAATTTCTGGGCACATTGGAAATTAGTAACACATATTTTATGTTTTTGCCAAATTCTTGGGTATCTAACAAAATCACAGACTTCACGTTCTGCAGGCATTGGAGAGTAGAAATATAGATATTATATATTTTAAAAAAATTAGGGAATTCAGATATTTAACATCCATATAGATACAAAAACCTTTCAATCAAGTCTCTGACTATCAGTACTAATTTTTCAACTCTACTTTTTTACCGAACTGCCTTAGGATAACACACTCCAATATTATAATAAATACTTGGTGGACCCATGTAAATGGAAGGCCTTTGTAAATCATTGTTTTAAAAGTGAAAAGAACTTCATTGAGGAACTCAAAGCAGTTCCTTGATCACCTCTACCATGGAGTGGGGGTTAGCCTCAAAAAAGTAATAGAATGTTTACGAAGGACATTTTATTGATAATAGCATAAAATCAAAATTTTTAACCCTTCAGAGATATGAAAATTCAAATTTAAGGGTCAAGGATAATTATTTCAGAGTTACACACAACGGTGATTTGTGTTTCAGCATTATTTATGGTGCAGGTTGCTTCATAACCTGCATTGTGCTGTATTTCTTTTCTCTTTCTTTTCACAACGCTTTTACATTCTCGCAATTTATGATTTACCCTACATCTACCACATTTCTTAGTGTTTTCTTTTTCATATATAATCAATGATTTAAATACCCTGCTTTTACATTAGTATTACTTCACTTTGCAAGCTACTTACAACAGTATTTGCTACATCATCTCGAGAGTACTTTGCATCACGCACAATGAGCACTGTCACTGTACTTTCCCGCAGATGGCTAACAGACTGAGGAACATTGTCATATGACTTTTGAAATGGTGATAGATTATAATTTTCTGAAAGGTTACATGATGATTAAAACATTTAAATACAGTGAAAATCATTATTTATCAACTTATTTACATTTTACTTCTTGACATATAAGTGATATTTACAAAGGACGAAAAAATGATCATTGGGCTTCGCCAGAATATAAGAGGTAGCCTCATAATCTTTTGATTATTTTACATCATGCTCCTTCAAGATTTCACCCTTTCGCATTCTAAAATAAATGTAATTTTTTTCTATTCTTTAATAGCTCAAAGTATGAGATTCTCTGTGTGTTTTTGCCTAAATTCGTTTCGTGAACCTGCTTCATATTATTCCCAAAATCAAAGAATCAAGGGGCTAACAAGTTTAGAAAAATATCTCCAAAAATGATATTCCCTGTTCAAACTACCTGATCACGTGGATCCTCGATTTTGAAATTGATAATTTTAATTTAGGGGGTACTTTATATGAAGCCCCTCGGACATTTTCTAAATTTTCAAAGAAATGGGTCCGTGATGTGTTTCATGAATGTAATTTTTGAGGTGTTTTGAAGCAATTGGATGTTACATAAGTTAGAATTTGAGTATTATTTCATACTCCTTTTTTCATTTTTCATCAAGCTTTTGTTGTAAGTTTTAAAATTAATATTTTAGAAAGTATTTAAAACCTATTTTAAATTGCATACTTTAATTGGGTTAAGTGTGAAATGGAATAGATAATTATAATTATGCTCTGCTTTACAACTTGTGAGAATAAAAAGGTGTGTGTAAAAACGTAGTAATTTTGATGAAAATTGAAATTATCATTGAATGAAATTATTATATTAATTATAATTTTTCTATCTATTTTCATTTTCTTGCTAGCGGTATCAACAATGTTCGCAAAATGCTATAACAGTACATTGAGCCGCCTTTCACAGCCACTCTATCCATTCACCAATCATTACCGGATGCCTCAGTTTAGCATTTCCAAGAAGAAAAAGAAAACTAAATTAGATTTTCAGAAACAAATTTCAACAGGCATGTGCCAATATTGGATTGGGAGAGACCAAGCTAGACTCCCACACCTTCATTCAAACTCAACAAATGATGGACTACATCATCGGTGAATGGTGGGATACAGAGGTTTCGTGGTGAATGTAGTCGCAATGTAAATTCATTCACATAAAAATTTCTGCCAAGTAAGGTTCAAACTGAAACTTAGGCTCTTGAGGGAGAGGGCATCTGTCGCAGTCGCACTTTATCATTCTCATTACCGCCACATCATGGGAGTGGCATTACGCAGACATTTATATGCCGCCCACGCATTACCATCAGCAAGTCACATGGCGAAAGGGTGATTGCGTGGACGCCGTTCATCAGTGCCTGGTGAACGACATGTGGGAGACCCGCCAGCCGCTACCCCAGCCAGCGAGGCACTTAAGGCCACAACTATCGCTAATAAGAGCTGCGGCTGTTGCTGAACTCTTCGTCGGGTCAGGGCGAAAGGGATAGCCTGCTTACCTGCCCGTCTCGGCAGAGGACAACTGACTCGTGGACTGGACATTGACCCCCTAACATGCACAGTAACAGCTTTGTTTTTGATGCTGGGTGAGCTGCGCATTGGCTGTGTAACGCAGAACATTAATTTCATTTTATAAGCTTATTTGAAAGAAAGGAAGAATCCTTTATTCTTAATAATGGATGCAATACCACCCTCTTGCATCCCACGATATATTAGAAAGACAAGGCAAAATCAAATAATAATCCTTTATTCCCTCTAGGAAGGGAGTGGAACAGTTATTAGAATGTGTATCTAATGTGTATCTCATACAAATTAGCGGTCATCGCTCTTTTAATCCGTTGTTGTAAAGCCATACTAATAACAGAAGGCGATAATTACGGTTGCCTTTTATTTGCGTTTTTATAAACCAATAATTAAATTTACGCCTAAAATATGCATCGTGCATCGTTGGTACATTTATGTAGAACTTGAATACACTGAATTCAATGACAGAAAGTAATATTCATTTAAGCATTTGTATTTAAAAAATATATGTATTTTTTATGCTTTGTTTAAGAAATTTTCAAATGATAGTTAAAGTGCAATACAGAAATTGTCGTATTACAATATTACAATGCCATTAATATATCGAGAAAGTATGCGCTGTTGTAACACCACCAGTTTTCTAAAAGAAATATCAATTCCCTCTCCATCCCTGTTGTTTGTTAAGGAGTGGCTTGTCCTAATTCCACGTAACATCACAGAACTTAACTTAGTTTTACGAAGGTGTAATACCTGATTTACAAATCATAATTTTCCGATTACTTCCCTTACAGCAACGCGACTGATCACACATCTAGTACCAAAAACTAAATCTCGTTTAATTTTTCTACACTACACTCTTATGAATTCATTAGAGCACTACCAGTGGCATGATGCAATAACTCAATATTTGATGCCAAAAAGGCCATCAACAGAAGAAATAAGTATAAAAATGTAAATATTTTAATGCATACATTTTACCAGAACTAAACTAGGTACTAGAACAAAACTCTTGAAATTCATATCAATACCTTGCCAATTCAGAAGAATATTAAATAGAAGTCATAGGCATTTGCATTCAGACTTGCGAGTGCTCGTCTGTCCAGGTGACACCATGTTGAAGGTTGTGATGTTCAGGTTCAGACCATCATCTTGTGGTCTTCCTACAGGTAGACCAGCTCTGAGGAAGACCACAAGATTCTCGAAATGTTGGCATCACAGCCTTCAACGTGGTGTCGCATCGCCAAATACAGCCAGCCAAGAGTACTCTAAGAATATTAAATTCTCCACAGCACACATAATTACACACAAATTATAAAATAGATATTGAAGGTCTAACATGATCCAGTCTATACTGTAGATTTACCTTCCACATCTTTCAGAACAAATATTTGAAGGAATTTCTTAGTTTTACATCCTGTATATGTATAAATGTAATAAATTTTAAAAAAATAAACTTACCCTATCAACTTGGGCCTGAGAAGCCTGCACTAAAGTTCGCAGCACAATATCTAAGTATTTCCTAAATTCAGTACCAATACTAAGCGCTATGTCACCAAAGACAGAAAGAATTTGAGGCTTCACTGAACGATGAACAGTATTATCCTGTAATAGTAACAAACTGTGTTAAAAAACAAGACTAAAACTTCACACATATTAAAGAAATGTAGAATCAACTTACACTTAAATTTTCTAAGAGTAACATCATTATTTCATCACAGTAGGGCAGCATTTTACTCTTAAGTGCCCGACTAATATCCCCTGTCAATCCAACAGCAGCTCCACACACCTAAACAAAGTTTTGTTAATGTAAATTTACAAATACAGTGTCTCTCATGGGGAATTAATAAGCAGTTTTCAAAACAAAACAATTGAAAGATTATGCTGGTAGCAAATACACCAACTGTTCTTCTCAAAAGTAAGTCTCATTATTTAAATATTTTAACTATTACTTATGAGGCACTTATATCTTGGTCGGAGCAATAGCGATTTAACAGTTAAATAATACATTAGTAACAAACTTTTTATCACTAATCACTCAGAAGCTTACTTGATATTCAGCATGGTTCTTCAATCCTAGGCAGAGGAAGGGCTTGAAAGCTTCCATATATTTGAGGAAACCTTCTCCTAAAACTTCTACCAAAGTTGATACTGCCATAAGGGCATCTTCTTGCACCCCACCAGATTTGCATGAATTAGAGTTAAACATTTGTAATAGAGCAGACATGATTGCATCTGATATATGAGGGGCATCATCAGGAGTAACCTTCCTTAGAACACTCTGTAAATAAAATTACTATATTACAAAGCTGAACATATTCTGTGAGTCAGGGACATTTACAAAGTGTCCAGCTTGGTTTTCATTTAAAGCCAGTAATTACTTATGATAGCTGATTCATTTTAGTCATTACGAGGGCCTTATTATGTATTATCAACAAATTATTCCCATCCTTGGAAGGAAACAAGTTGTACACCTACTCTTCACTAAAGAAAAGAAAATTTTCCACCTAATATACTACTCACCTGCAGAGTAGCACAAAGAAGACTTTGCAGGTCATTGTATTGAGCACGATCACTGTAATTTTGGATGTGAGTTTCCATTTGCAGAACCTGTTGCAGCCTTTCCAGAATTACCATGGTGGTTCTTTGAACAGTAGCATAGCAATCCTGGGGAGAATTCTTCATCATTTCCATCAAGGCTTCATAAGCTGCCGATCGCAAGTTGGCCTAAAACAATATTACATATATAGAATTAATCAATTGTAATTTAATACATTTTACCTTGAATTATTTTTAAAAAATCATATGACAATATCATTGCATCAAACAAATTAATGAACTTCACATTATGCCTATACAAGATCACAAATTTGATAAAACTATACAAAAAATTGTGGAAGATTAAACAATGTTTGAAATTTTCTTTTTCCTACACTACCCTAAAAGAAACATACCTGTGCTCCATCAGGTCTGTCAGTGGTCTCCAAGAGTCTCTGCACAATGAACTCAAAATATTGGGAAAGGCAGTAGGTCTCAGGTTGACCTCCTTCAACAGAACCTTCCGCTTGCTCATAACTAGCCTCAGCCAAACCAGTAAATGCCCAACACACATTTGCAGCTACTCGAGGTTCTGATTTTAAACCATTTACTAAAGATTCAAGTAAAGGCTTCAGGTAGGTCTCATTTATAGCAGCTTCTGGAATTATTTCGCATACTCTTCCAAAAGTCCACGCAGCTGTATCACGAACCACAACACTGCTGTCATACATGAGTTCTATGAGAGTGGGCATTGCTTGCTCTACCAAAGGTTTGAGAGTAGCTGGCTCCAATCCACCAAGAATAGATCCTAAAATTTCATATTAGTGTCAACTACAGACAACATAAAAAAAATTAAAGAGTATCAGATAAATAAAAAATTGGCTTACCAAAAGCCATAAGAGCAGCATCCCTATACCTCCAATCAGCACTTTTGATATTGTCTTTGACAAACGGTAAAACAAAAGGAACGATATCATCTTCACAACAAGTTGCTAGCAACATCAAACATACTCCTGCTGCTTTACTAGGATTCCAATCATCATCATCATCATACTCTTCCTACACAAAACATGAAATTAAAATTTAAAACACTACAAGAAAGAGGGTTAATAATTTAGTAGAACAGGCCAATGAATAGGCTTATCTTCCAAATTCTTTATCAAATGTGAATAATTACTATATAAATTTATGAACTTTTTTTTGCTACAAATATTCTGATCTGTAATGAAATTCTGATTCCATTACATAATATAAATTAAATAATATGATAGTAAACATAATACCTGTTTGGTTAATTTCTGCATCAACACTGGCACAAGATACTGAAGTGCACCCTTAGCATAGAACCGTGAAGTCCGTTGCGGAGGACGACCTGCTTCCTCTGCTTCACTATGTTCTATTGCCAAATCTACCTCTTCATCACTTACATTAGACCAAAATTCAATACCTTGAAGAGCTACTTCATCTATATCAGACTTCATTGCTTCTAATGTGATCTGAAAGTGTAAGCCAATCAATTTTAGAATTACTTCCGACAGTGTTACAAATTTCAACAATACATTCACCTTTCGACTAAATGGTTAAACAAATACAGCAACATCATCCAAACCTAATGGCAAGTCATAATACAAAATATTATTGAAGTGTCAGGTTATTCTAACTTAATTCATTTTTGTAAACCATACAAAAATCAAGAACTTTCATACTACAAAACGCACTTGTCTGTAATAGAGCCTGTGTATTACACACACAGTGAATTTTCTTGGAATGGAACACATCAGCTACAAAAGGTTTTATAAGTTTTAAATCACAAACTAACTCTGCCTTACAACAATTACCACTGTTTTGTACAAATACTGCCAACAAGGAAAAAGTTTTGTATACATTGCCTTGTAAAAATTTGTAATGGTAAAGTTCTTTTGAACAATACTTTAAATTGACTTGTATTGGCAGTTCATTTTATAATGACTGAGAATGTAATTTTTATACAGGGAAATAAACATTAAATCCGTAACATTACTGAATAAAATTTCTCAAATGGAATGTTTCTAACAATTAAAAACCTTTCCACTTTAATAATTTTAACTACATCAGACAAATAAAGCCAATGCTCAGCAAAACATGTTCTTCCACTCATTCTAATAAAAAACAGATAATATTGAAAGTTAAAACAAAATTTGATCATCCTCTAAACAATAATGGCAAAAATTTAGAAGGCAGGAGCATTGAATATGTTAGTTTGCACAGAGTGAAATGTAACAATTTATTTACAGAAAAACAATTCTCTATGAGTTAAAAACTTTAGCCTTGCTAGTTACAAATTATATTTCTTATATAATTAACAAATAACAACAGAAACTCAGGCTTTAATTGAACATAGGTTTACAGAACAGAGAAAACATGAGAATCAATATTTTGAGGAATAATAAAACTAAGGATGGTCAAAAAATTGGCTGACATCTTCCTGAAATGATGAAATTTCTTATTTTTGTTATGTTTGTTGCTTTTTTATTCAATGTTTCTGTTTTATTAAACAATATTTAATTTAGTTTCAATGCATTAGTAGTTTAAAACACTCACACCAAGTTGGTGCCATTCAAAGAATACAAATAATTTTCAATTGGTTTTGAGAGTATGAGTGCATGAAATTAACACACAAGCCACTGGCATTTTCCTATTCTTGGTGCTTTTTCAATGTCACAGTAAAACTATCAATATAAAATTAAATATTACATGAATAACAATAATAATACTGCTAGGAAGACTATAAATGCTGATAATTTAAGAAAAAGTACTAATACTTTTTCACAAAACATATTCATGAGCAACGACTTAGTACTAGCAGACACTGAGCAAAGAAAATTAAAGTTAATATAGTTTTAATGTTTAATGTAAACTCACAGGAAATAATGCTTGTCCCATGTATGTTTCCATATGCTGATAATATAGGGACATAATTTTTACAAGACATTGCAACGCTGCCACTCGAACCAAAGTATCAGATGACTGTGTTGCTTCACAAACCACTTCCATAATAAAGTTACGTTCAGTCTGAAAAAGTGAAATACATTAGCATTTTAACAATTTAAAAACACAATTAATTTCCGTTTATAATACTTACCTCTTTATCAAAATTAGCTCTTGTAAATTCCAGTGAATTAAGAAGGGCAGTAGTAGCAGCTAATCTGACGTGATTGCTGGGTTCATTTGAACGCATTCCATGAATAATAGCAGTCAAAATATTATTAGACTGTGAAACTAACACTTCATGTTCCTGTTAAAAGAAGATTGTTAATTTTTTTGAAAACTTGCTTTTAAGTATTCCAAAACTGAAATAAAAAAACTTACTATATCTTGACAGATGTAACCTATTGCCTCTAATGTTGCTTCCTTCAGCATTTCCGTACTATTGGCACTGATGACATTGTTTACCAACATCGAAATTAATTCTGGCCATTGGCCAACAGGCAGCTCTGCTACCGCCACAGAAGCCACACACTGTGCAGCAGAACTGGGACGGTTGTTCTCTGTGCCCAAGGCAGCAAGAATCTGCAAATCCACAGCTCAAGAATAAATCATCAGTCAGACCTTTACAAATAGACTTACTTAAGAAACCCAACTTACATTTTTCTTGACATAATGTCTGGTTTCTTCTGGAAATGCCAACCACCTTTGTTGGTGCTGTGATTTGACAGTTGTATCTTTGGATGTAAGTGTATTTTTGAGCTGCAAGCCAGCAGCCATACGAGCAACATGACTGTTCCCTCCATGATGTAAGATATCGGACAATGTTTTCACAAATTCAGGCTGGAAACAGAAAATTAACATACAAATGTAGTGAATGTACTAAATAAAACATTTGATATGAAACAAACCATGATCAATCAGGAACTGTCTTTAGAACAAAATAATAACTGAAAAATACATTTTTTATTTCTAAAATTAATTTTCTTTCAGAGATTACATTTTCTTACAGCCGTTGTCAACTAGGCAACCAAAAGAATCAGAGTCCTGTTCAACATTCTGTGCTAGAATATTGAATCAAACCATAGTATTGCAATGAGCTAATTCAAGCTAACCATTTTGAAGATGTTCTTTTAGGTAATAACACTTACCCATGGGATGTCTATAAGAGAAGAACATTTTAAAAATATAATATTCGACTTGTGTGCACAAAAATATTTGATCCCAAAGAAAAAATAGCACTCAAGTTCTAAGTCAAATTTATAAGTGAATTCTGTGTGATAATTTTTAAATTTAAAGAAAGCCTATCATAAAACTATTCCTTACATTTACCCTGCAAAATCATTCATATTTATTTTGCTTTGGTAAAATTTTTAACAAACAATAGCTCTGTGCAGCTAAAAACCTTGAGGGGGAAAAGCACCCACAAAGCTCCCACATTGCATTACATTTCACAAACCTCTTGGAAATATCTCCCTTGATCAAACAGATCTTCGAAATAAAGTTATTGGATTCTAGGTAGTTCCGATCTTGCCTTCTTTTTTTACGTATTAAAACGTACTAGACAAACAACTTATTCTACCCATACGAACCTGACATGACTTTCAACTTCTTGAATTGGTATCTAGTTGCTTTATTTCAAAAATAGTAATCAATGAAAAAAAATCATAGCAAAAATCTAATAAATATTTGCGAGTTCACCATATCTTTCTAAAAATAATTTATTAAACTGATTTAAGTTTTGATTTTAGTTGCTCACAGTATTCTCTGATTATTTTTTTGTTCCACAAGTAAAATAATATTACATTTCTATGAAAATTACAGGTTAGTGAATGGTTAAAAAATACTATCGTTTGCATCTCACATTGACACAACAGCTCTAACTTCAAAAATTACTCAAGCATACAAAAACTCACCAAATTGTTTTGAGCAGCTTGTTCCAAATAATTTTGGGCCGCTTCCAACTCATTTTTATCTGCAAATCAATTAAAATACAAGTATTAGCGAATTATATCTAATTTCGACCACATTGCCATATTGTAGGTTATGTGAAAGCGCGGTCTGCGAAGCAAGAACAAAGGGGACTATTTCGAAAATATCGGATAATACCACTGTTACCTCAAATAATAAAGAATATATCGCAAGTCCAAAACTAGTAAAACTTGTCAGAATGATCTTAAACAATTCTTATCTCAACCATGGCTGGCTGAACCATGAGTAACGTATATCGGCATCGAGGTAACTTACGTTCGAATTGTAACTTTTATTTAGAAACATACCTGGAGATACAGTCTTTTCTAAGATTTGGATAAGCTGAAAAGTAGCCTCGGGATTCATTCTAACTCAAAACAATACTATATTCACAATATATCTTAATACTTCGATGGAAATTATGTTCTCAAATCGCTGCAAATATCCCTGTAATTCAGTGTCCTCTTCAACCGGCAATCGCCAATCGCCCACATGTACAATGTAGTACTGCGCCACTATCGGATTCTCAACGAGATAAACATAGTAAATAATATATACGATCCAGTATAAATAATTATAATTTTAATTTAGTGTAAATATGAAATATATATACAAAGTCTATCGTGTGATGGAAATATATTGAATTAATTTTAAAATACAGCGGGAACTACATTTTGAGAGACATGAATCATGGGCGCTGACGTTATGAAAAATTTCGCGCCAACTCCTCAAGTTTATTCAACACACGATAGATGTCACAGGTTGCTGGGAATTTCAGTAAATTGATTTGTCGGTATTGATGAATCGAAGAAATACCTCAGATATCCAGTTGACTACCAATCGACTTGGAGAAATACAGTAGACGTCAAAATAATGCGCATTTGATATTACCTTAATCATTTTGCCTTTTCACATTTGAAATTAACCAATCCCAGGCCATCTTCGCCATTTACTAAATTATACAGTATTCTGATCGACATTATAAAGATAGAATGTCTAGTTTATGTTCTTTCGCCACGTATTTCTGAAATTCGTTACTAACAAGCCGAAATGTTTGTCCTATCACCAATACTTTTTACCTAGTCACTTTCCATTCTTACTGGCTATTACACCTTCACTTGAAAATTTACCTAAATTAACACTTTGCCACCTTTTCAGAATGTTGATAAAAATTTATTTTAGATTTGCACTCCCTGGATTTTCACATTGATGACATATCAACAACATGAATTCTAGTAGTCATTTAGTTGATGGAAGATTCTATCTTGTTTTACAGTGACAAGCAATTTCATAGTTTCTGTGAGGATTTTCTCCTGTATTTGTTATAATTTTAGTTTTTTTTAGTCAGTTATGAATGTTTTACATTATTACGATACAATCAAAGTACCTTGTATCAGTTTTTTTATAAGTGATAGTTCATCTCATATTCATAGAAGGTATTGTGGCCACTTACCTTCATCCTTCAGAAATCCCTAAAACAAAATGTGCTAATAATTTTTATAAAAAGTATTAAATCTTTTGTATGGGAAGAAACTTATCTAGTGAGTAATTTTATTAATTAAGTTTATTTTTAAGTAAAACAAATTTTAAATATATTATAAAATAAGCAAAAAAAAAAATGTAATAAAAAATCAAACTATTGGAAATTAAATATTTCAGTAATGCAGATATTCTGAATGATGTTTTATACTATATTGGAATAATAGCCAAAAATTGTAATTGTATCTGTTCCATTTGATTCTTTCAAGTTACCATAATTCAATTTTGTTATTAGAATTATTATTTACAGTTATGTAATGAGTTCATGTACGAGTGTCATGACCTTGATGAAAAGTGTAATACTACAAACAAAATTACTAGGGTCTCTTTGGTAATTGTGATGCAGTGGAAGCCTAGTCTCCCCTAGACACTTCTTAACCCAAATTAAGAATTATAAAATGAGTCAATGTAAATTTTTCTGTAATTTAGTTTTAATTTTTTTCAAATATTCACAAGAATATATAGTATAGATATAGATCTATACGTATCTCTATTGAACATCATAATAATAATTGATACACATTACTAAACTCCAGAATAAAGCTGCTAAACCTAGAATCATTTATGGCTCTGAAACATTGGTAATGAAACAGACAGACCAACAAACACTACAGACATGTAAATTTAAGTTAGAGTTAGAATAAAAATGTGATCCATTATAATTATTAATTTACAATAATTCCTTTTAAATGTCATTTTTCATTGTTTATATGCCTCTTTGCACTGCTGCTTTAACCAGAATAAATGTCTTTAGAAACTTATTTTAGTGAAAATAGATGCCTCTTTATCTGCCTATTTTATGTAAAATAAATGCCTGAACTTCCAGGCTCTAATAATAATAAAAAATTTATTTACATTAAGGTGGAAAATGTTATGATGTGTGGCAGCTGACAGTGGCGTGACTGGAGGAAAATTGCAGTTAGTCAATACACCATGACCTTCAAGATCGTATAAAAATTCTCTCAAGAAAACAACTTGTGATCTTATGAAAAATTCACAAGTATTTATGGAATTGGCAAAAAAATACTCTATATAATTATGAATACCTAGTGTATATTTATATTTGCTGTTTAAATAAATATTTATCTTTTTTTCTTCAGAAAACAGCAATATGTGTTATTACCGCAATATAATTCACTTTGTTCTCTGGTTTTTATTTTTCATGTTTTCAAATATATTTTTCATTTTTATTTTTTGTAATAAATAAATTTAAAGGCTTGAATGAATCTCATTGATTAAATGAGAATTCTTATTAGTTGAAGAAAATAAATTGTACAAGGTTTTAAAATTTAATCATACTTATAGAAATGTATAAATTTGAAAATGAATTTTTTAATTTTATCTGTGTATTTAATTCATTTGATACATTTTCAAAATATTTGAAGTTTGTGATATTGGTAGTGCACTTATTGTATTCCCCTATTTCCACACCATTTTTTCACTACAATAATTATTAGATTTTTGAAATAATTTACTTTTGACGAATACAAATAACACCAAATTTGTGTATGTTCACAAGCTCATCAATGATCTATCACTATATCCTCATCCTTGAAATTTTCATATCTGCGAACGATATTAGAAATTCATAAAATTATCTAATTTTCCAGTATTTATTTAAGTCCCTCAATGGTTCTCAGATTAGTCAGCATGTTTTTAGTCATTTATGTTGAAATGCTTTCATTAAATTAGGTCGGTCTGAAAAAAGCATAAGTGCAACGGATGGAACTTTATGAAAAGCAGTATGCCAAAGTTACATTGCATGAGCTTCTGGACGTTTGGCAGTTTTCCTTTTCAAATTCTCTTTAATGTTTTGGCTTCAATTTCCTATGAGTTAGCAGCATGTACTTCATGAGGAGATTTACCTACATCTTTGATTACTTCAGTTGCCTGATGGTGTGCCATAACTAGAACTGGAATGTTCATGCAAATGCATGTTTTTTGTTAAAAATCATATCTTCCTGAATCTTGAAATGTGTATGTTTGATGGCAAAATATTGAAAATAGGGTAATAAATAAAGATATATTGAAAGTAGGTAGAAATTTAGCATATACAGCATATTTTGCGCAGAGCTTTTTGACATATAAATGAAACATTTTGCACATTTTTTGACTTTTTGTCTAAAAAAACACAAAAATGTGAATTTCCTCAAAAAATTAATAATGATAAGCATGAATTTTTTTGTTGCTTCAAATATATTAGTACAATGAGTTTCAGATTATTGACAGCTAATGCTGCTGAAGTAATATCTACTCTCATCTGTTTCCTAACAGATAAATAATTCAAGTAAAATCTTATTAGATTCAGTTGCAATTATTCAGGAGGTAAGGAATAAATTCGTGGCAGCTCCAGGTGAAATGGGGATAGCAAATACGAAGAAAACAAATGCATTTTTTTGAAAGAATCTTGGGTTTCATACTTTACAGATAATGGGTAAATTCGTGGAAGGAAATAGTGTTCATCTTCCAGACAATGTATTGAGACTTTGTTTCCCATTACATCATGTGATGTCGAAATATAATTTTCTACTTACAAAATGATATTGGTTGATAGGAGACACTCCCTAACAACAGACAACCTTAATAAAATTCTTGTGGCTTTCTGTGCTTTTAACACAAAATAATATGTGCAGAAGTAGAGAGTAATTGTTTCTCATTTGCATATTCCTGCTGTCTCTTGGTTGCAAAAATTTGTAATGTCATTATAAAGTACATTTTTGTGACCAAATGCTGCATATTTTAATTTCTGATCATATTGCAACATTTTCGTGGCATATTTGCATGCACATTTCAGGGCTAAAAGCTTGCATGAACTTCCTAGCTTTAGTCATTACAGACCATATCATGCCGTGAGGTTTTCACTCAAGATATTTTTCCATTTCCAAAATATATATCCATTTTTAATTTGTCACCATACTATGAACTTTTGTATGTAAAGGGAAAGTATTGTAAAGTTGCAGCAGAAATCAGTGATTTTTCAACAGAAAGATTGATATTGTGAGGTCCAGGTATCGAAAAAGGGAATAAATCTTGCTCCTTTATGTAGAAAATTACTTCCTCTAACTTATATAGTCAGAAACCCTATTATGTGAGTCAGAAAAAATTGATTCAGACGATTTTCTCCAAAAGTGTTATACCCTGATTTATCTGGATGCTCTCAAGGCTCTGTGAGTTTGAAATAGATATTTTGGATGTTGTGCATACTTAATACAAAGCCTCCAAAACATTTCAAAATTGCTCTAAATGTTTTTATTTAGCTTTTTCCATGGATAGCTTGAAGAACACTTAAAAATGCCACAAGGGTCAATTTCACTAAATTCATTAAATTTGCAATATTTGCAAAAAATTGAAGCTTTTAAGCGCTTTCCTCTTACTACAATGTCGAAGAAAGATTTTTTTGTAATAAAACTATTCTTTAAAGGCATCTTGAATAAGATCTTGTAGAATATTAGAAAAATATGAGGATTTTCATGAAAGTTTGTGTGAAATATAGGCAAATTTTTAAACAATTGTTTTCTCAAAAATGTCTTTAAATTTTGTTCTTAGATATAGCAAAAGACAGCAAAGAAAATGAAATTTTCCTCCATTTTTGGCAAAAACTGTATTTTCAAAATTTACGAAATATTAATGTTACAAAAATTATATTTCTAGAAGTTTTCTCTTAAATTAAATTATTCTACAAAAAACTTTTAGTAAGGACATATACAATTTTTGAGAAAATGAGTTGTTTTAGCATAATTTCTGCTCATTATATATTTTGTTTGCAATTTACATAAATGTGGTTCTCACACTCATGACTCCAATTTTTTTTGGATTGTTTCTTTGAATAGAGTAAATGATGGAGAAAAAAAGGTTGAGATCGCATATTCAGTAAAAATTGGTCTGTGTTTTTTTTTTTAAAATAACAAGCAAATAATTAACATTACAAAATTGCAATATTG